TTTTACAGGTTTATTTGGCATTGTTTGCATTGTTTTTTGTTGTTTTCTGTTTTGTTTTTGTGCGAGTTTAATAACCCACGATTAACCTTAAACATAACCTTAAACTACACACCATACTAGGGATGTACGATTCGAATCGATTATTATCAAATCGACGTGATTTTTATCAAACGATTTTTTGGTATAATCGATCTTTTTTTTTAAATCGAAGACCGATTTTATTTATACAGTTTTACAGGTTTATTTATTGGTTAGAATTTAGAATAAGAAAAAACACTTTAGTTTTGCTGGAATATTTGTTTGCAGTGCATCCCTAGTAAAAGGCCATCTAGCAATGAACTGAAAAATTAAGTGTAAGTGCTCGCTGCCGCATGCGCCGATGTTTGTTTATCACTTTGATAACAGGTGTCAGATTGTTGTCGGGGCTTCCCATATTTTTATATTTTAGATAACGTAGAATACTCTTTGATTTTACCTTAATTCTTTCTTGGGTATACCCTTTCTTGTACTTTTATTTTATTTTTGGGATATCCCTACTCCGTACATTAAACATTTAGAAAATTGATTTATCTATCTTTATACAACCACCAAAACGTTGACCCATAATAGTAATACATCAGTCCAGTAGAGGACGCTAAGGTAAAAAATTTCTAAATAAAAATTTGTAGGGGTGGGCCAGTCTGCGATTTTTGTGGAGCTGCTACGCTCTGCGACTGCTCCAATAAAAGCACTGCGACAAGTAGCAGCGATTTTTCGGAGCAATTAACCTATAAATTAAAAATGTAGTTTTATAGGTTAATTGCTCCGAAAAATCGCACTCATGTTCGGCTGTTCGGCACCGTTCGTTGCATTTACTAAAAAGTACAGGACTATAGGTGTGATTATGATAGGCAACATCATCGTCTAGTTTTTATTTATTTATATCGTATGATCGAGAAAAAAACGGCGTCAGCGATAGCTATGAAATGAAGATTGCTGGCATTTTATATGTAAAATTTATGGGGAATGTTATCGATTGTCATTTCCAAGCCAACTGGACGCCGTTTTTTATTTCGATCAGTAGTGGCGATTTTAACGTCTGTGCAATCGGGGTAAGTCACCGACGGGCCCCAAGCCTCCCGGGCCCTTGCGAACAAGATTCGAACTTTTCCGAACTACGGGCCCCTAGAGCTCTTAAAATCGCGGCTGTACGGTACTATACTGATGTCTTAGTTTGATAGATGTTGCTATATTTTTTTAGTCTATTCAGAAGAATTTGAGTGTTTCTAAGTACCAAGCACTTTGCTATAAATATCTTAAAGAGTCTGTTCATTTTCACAGAGTGGTGGCCCATGGTAAAAACTTAATGTTATATTCAATTCAAAGTCGAAACTGTCAAAAAAATCTTTATTAGTGACCGGTTTCGGCTATTTAGCCATCATCAGACCTTAAAAATAGATATAAATAATAAAACTTATATGAATGTATAAGATCAAATAAAAGATTTAGGATATACAACAAAACACAGATACAAAATTAACTAACAAATAAACATACTAACAAGTTAAAAATTACCTTTGTCAAAAACATCTGTTTGTGATTAATATATAATACATAAATATCTTATTTAGATTCATGAAAGAAAAAGCGAACGCTGCTACGTTTCCCGTTCCCAAACTCCCAACAGCTCCAGTACACAGAATATACTCAATATACTATGCTCCAGTCGACTGCGACCTGCGACGACTGTGACTGGAACAGTCTGACCGGGCGACGGGGCTAGGAGCATTTTCAGAATTTACACTATTGCCTGCTATTGCTCCTATTGCTACTCACGAGCGCAGATGTCCTAAACTTGTAAACTGCTCCGAAATGTCACTGCGATTTTCTTGGAACTGGAGCAGTCACATACTGCGACGTTGGTGGAGCTGTGACAAAGTAGCGGACTGCGATTTCACAACCCACCTCTAAAAATTTGTAATTCCTTCAGTGTTTTCGAAATCGTTGTCGGGGTTGCGTCGGTTTTGAAGAAATGTCGAAGAAAACCCCGGACTGTCTACCATCAGCCTCCGGATATAAGTAGTTATTAAAGCAAGTTTTTTTTAACATTTTTTATTGTATTTATGAGTTTAGTGTTTGATTATTATCATGTGAAAAAATTTAAATAATATTTTAAAAGTGATAGGCATGTGATAGGTTTGTGATTTTCAGTTTAATAGATATTTGGTGTGTATGTGTTTGCGTATATGTGTGCTGGATAAAAACACTTTCATTAAAAGGGTAAGCTCTAACTAAACATTAAAGGTTATACTTGTTTATTGAAACGATTGAAAATATTTTCTAATATGGCGAAAAAAGAAGCTATAATTGTTAAGATTTATTTTTTTCAGTTTACTCCACTGTAAAAAGTATTTAAAATATTGCGCGTTTCACTAGAATTAGTAGAGCAATCTACACTAATATGAATAAAATTAATTTTCGTATTTTTTTCTGTAGCAACTTAAAATAATTGAATTTATAGATAAACATGCAGAATGTGGGTATGGTAGGAGATGGCAACGTTGCATTCTCTCCGACACTCTCTATGCCCGTTAAACGAATTTCCCGGGGAGTGAACAGTGGCACTCAAAAGTTTTTCAACATTTTCCGGAAAATGTCAAGAAAAATATAAAATTTTCAACATTTTTTTTTCGCAAAAAAAACCTCATAGGCGTGTTTTGGGTTTGAACTATACTACCAGTTAAAATATCTGCACTCATTTCTGGGACATCTGTCTATATATATATATATATATATATATATATATATATATATATATATATATAATAATATAAAATAATTTGAGCCCGATCCATTCATACATAGAATTTTAAAAAATCAAAAACCTCAAAAATGCTGTCAAAAATTCGGGTCATGCCTGGCAAAAAAATGTATTGTCATTGGGATTGAACCTACATGCCAAATTTCAATTTCCTACAATAAAAGGAAGTGGTTCTAATTTAGCTTACAAGATTTACCCTGAACAAACATACATACGAGTAGTTACATACAAAGCAAGTTAAATAAAAGCTTGTAAAATTGACAAAAAACGTACTTACCCTTTACGGATACCCCGTATTTACAGAACGGATCGACGCAGTCCGACCCTGCCATATTTTATGGACCCTGGCCATATTTTATGGGGCCTTCGCGGGCCCCCCTTTGTACTTCATTATTTATTCTTAACAATATTTGCTTTTGCATTGCATTATGGCATTTGCATTGCATTGGTTTACCTTGCATTAGGGTAGTTCCCTGATTTCTATACAGGGTGAATCTTAAATAAGTGCAAATATTTTCAAGGCTGATAAATCTCCATAAAAGAAACATAATATTTTCTCTTTACCGTTTTGTCAAATAAATCCAAAACAACCGAGTTATTTCTATCTTAAAATTTCCAATTTTTTGCTATAATTTTGAGAATCATTAGATTTTCTTTTTTGTAAATTTAATCTACTACCTATGTTGCCATATTACAAAGTATGTTTTTAAACTAAAAATTAAAAAAATTTCCAATTTTATTTTAAATTCCAAATTTTCATGAAAAAAAAATTTCGCGCAAAAACCTCATGATCGTGTTTCCTGGGTCGAAATATACTACTCCTAAAAATATTTGCACATATCTAAGGCTCTACCTGTATATAACAGGGAAAAATTGACCAAAACGTAAAGCGAAAAAATACGCAAAAAAATCCACTCGCGCCCTCCTTACATTCCCCCCCGGGCCCCTTTGACCTAGTGCGACCCTGGATCGACGTACTGTACCTGTGACTGTACTAAAGAAACATAGGAGTAAGAGCCCGTGTGTTGGCTTTAGCGTGATCGTAACGAAAATTACGGAGATAGCCGCATTTCGGTGGCTATTTCAGATCACTGGGAATTAGCAGATATTATTGAATTAAAATAACAAATTTTCTTTAATGGGAAAAAATGTATTTGCTTCCTCTACTTATAGAGTATTTTTTTCTCTTTCTAATGGCATAAAAATATATTAACGTAAAAAATGGAGTTAGCAGGTTATCACGTTTCACTGACGATATGGCATTTCCCATAGTAAATTTTTATCAAGGCCACCCAATGATTTTTCTCTCGTACTTTACCATTGAAAGAGCCATACGAAATAATAGTCCGTGTATCTGAAAAAACCATTAAAAATTTTGAAATACTTTAAATACAAAAAATATTTAATTTTTAACTCTCCATCTAATAAAAAAATAATATTCAGGGTGTTCCATTTAAAATAACAAAGAAAATTTATTTTTGATTTTAGAAATTTTGGTTCTTAGAATTTTGAACACTCTGTATGATTTAACATTACGATATTTATAACAACGTAAGTATAGACCATCTAAAGTAAATACATAATGTAGTTTTGATTTTAAGACAGGTTCTTGTATTTGTAATAATTTTTTTGAGGAAGGTTGAAAAATATATATTTTTTATTTATTTAATATCTTTGAAATTATCGAAATATGTTTACTCATATCTTAGGATTATGTAAAGTGATCTGAAAGGAAGTAAAAAATGCAGTAATATACAGGGTGCTCCATTTAAAAAAATAATTCCGATCCACTCGCACTTTTTTAAGCCACAATTCTCAAGTTTTTTTATTCTATGAGCTACAGATGCCCGACGCACTATTGCCGGACCCTGTATAGCAATTTCTTAATATTTGTTTATGTAAATTTCTTTATATTTGTTTCTTTAAGACTCGGAAATATTATTTTTTTATTGGTACCTAAATGTGTAACGATTTTTCAGGAAATTGTAGGTACCTTTCTATAAAAATTTAATCATTTATTAACCGATTATTTCATAATTTACCTCGTCAGGTTCATAATTTAAATTTACAAGCAAATATAAAACAAATAATATATTAAATATGTAACTAATGCTCCTTTTTGCAGGAATAAGTGCCGGTGGCAATTAAACAAAACAATTATAGCTAGTAAATTTACTAAATAATTTTTAATATATTTTAGGGGAACGTGATGGATGATGGTAGAGGGGAGGATAACAATTTAGGACAACAGAGGGGGGAAATTGCCAGCGGGCGGTCGATTGAAGTAAGTATTGGATGATTTTATTTCCATAAATAAAATATCCATAATATTTATATAGCAATTCACCGCTACAAAAAAAATCTAATATTTAAGTTATAATAGTAGTAGAAGTAGTAGTAGTAGTAGTAGTAGTAGTAGTAGTAGTATATAGTTTATTTGTTCCAATTAATTACACAGTGCAATATAATATAAATATACAGAAGTATAATATAAAATAATCACACAAATGCAAAAAAGTAAGCCGCCACAGCAGCATGGAACATTGAAAAAAAAAACAGCCCAAAAACAAACTAGGTCACATTACAATATTTAAAAATGTTAACATTTTCGAAAACAAAAATATATGCAAAAGATGATCGAAAATGAAAATAAAAAAAATTATCATATTAAGTTATTCCATACAAATGTAAAGTCTATCACAGTCATCAAAAAATTCATTAATAGAGTAGAACGCCTTTTTTAATAGATAATTCTGAACGATGCTCTTTGCCATTTTATTTTGGAAGATTTCTGACGCTTTCTGAAAAACTGTTGTATATTTTAACACAAAAGAAAATCTAGGAACTAGTGGGGTTGCAGTCGGAAGATTTTGGACTAGAGTTAATACACTTTGTTAATTGTCAAGCTTTCGCAATTTATTTATTCCATCCTCAGGACATCAATGTGGTAAAAGACCTTCATAAAAACTACATTAAAAAATAGGCTTGAGATATACATTGAAAACTCCACAGTAAAAACATCACTGACCAATCAACCACTCGACTCGAAAAACGCATAGTTTTCGAGATATTTACAGAATACCGATTTTGGGCGCCATCTTGGCAAGATGGCGGTGCCAGCGGCAAGTCTGGAAATGTGCATTTTATTGATTTTAGTTAGGGACCCCAAAACCTATAAACCTGCAAAATTTCAAAACTTCCGAACTATAATAAGAGATTCATTCTTCAAGAGATCTGGTTATGTGCCAGTCAAAAAACAAATAATCATAATATGAGATATTGGCGATGATATTACAGTCAACAACTTCTTTCAGTATCTTTACAAGTATCTCGTCATCACCAACAAATTTTTTGTTTTTTTTTTATAATTGTGCTAATTTCTTGACCAGTTGTAAACCCTAAAAACAACGTCCGATCGACATGGATATGAGAAAAGTCCTCCTCGATTACAATAGATTCTAAATTTAAACATGAGTTTGCAAAGTAGTGATTTAACTTACTATTTTGACAGGATCATTATATTTAAGTTTGAAATTTTCCAGTGTTGTTTTATTTTGTTTATCTTTGTTGGTTATACCCTTGTTATACTTTTTACCAAATGCCATGCAGCTTCCACTCTATTTTCAGCGTTACATATAAATTGTCTATTTGATAGTTTTTTAGCTTCCAGTAAGTTTACAATATGTCTTATAGAAATTATCAGTTACCAAATTTTTTATTCGGTAAGAGTTCAGCACACGTTTTCGCTTACACGACAGTCTTATCCCCTTTGTTATCCAAGACTTTGATTTATTGTGCTGAATACATTTTTAACTGGAAAAATACATTTAAAATAGTTTTGAAATAGAGAAGCAAAAGCACAATAAGCGTCATTCACTGTGCTGCATGTCTATACCATAGACCAATCAACAGTTTCTATTTCTTTCTTAAACGAAAGTATTTTACTTTTTGGAAAAATTCTTTTATAATTGTACGCTATAGGCCTTTTGTTAACATTAATATGACAATGTACACTTATAATCTGGGCACAGTGGTCAGAAAGCGCCAAATCTTTAACAAAGCTCCGAACATTCAAAGATGCATCATAAAGAAAATTATCTAACAAAGTTGACGTATTTTTGGCTACACGGGTTGCTCCGTATATTTTCTGGCTTAAGTTATAACTAGAGAATAAGTTTATTAGTCTTTTAACAAGAGTGTTGTGTTGTTTTCAAAAAAGTTCAAATTGAAATCACTTGCTACTACTATATTAAATTTAGGATAATGTTGATTTATTAATTCAAGTCAACCAAACCAAACCTGTTCTAGTGTATCCATAAAGACATTAAACGAACTTATACCACGTCGATATAAACACACTACTACTAATTTTTGTGTCTTATCTACTACAGCCGCCAGTTCAACTGTACCTTACACACTTAACTCACAGAGGGCCTTCTCATCCTCAAACATCCCAGCCTCCTGACAATATATACATACTCCTCCATGTTTCATTTTTTCTCTTGGTTCAAGTATGATCTCGATTTCAGACACTATTTCACAATTATTGTGTGTTTTGATGAAGGATAGATACACCAACATTTAGGCAGTTAGTAATCAATATTTTAGGCTGTTGCACCTATTTGTCATTAGAGTGATTTTTTTAATTTAGAAGTTTATTTTCTGTCTTGTTTTTTCCTGTACTTTCAAATATGTTTGACATCTTATATCATATATCCCATGATTTACATCTAGATTTAGGTTAAAATTTTTGTTACAAGATAGACAGTTGCTGCACTCTCCATTTTATTTTTGTTGCAAGTTTTGGTGTCGTGATTTGCTTCTCCACATTTTCCTCATAATCTTGGATTTTTACATTCTCTTGAAACATGATTGTACTAGTTGCAGTTATAGCATCTTATTATACTAATGTATTCGTAACATCTACATGATCTACAGCCTAAATAAACTCTACAATCATTCCCCACTCTCTGAAACGTATAATTATCACACTCCAGGATAGCAAGATATGATTTAACCATTTTTTTAAACAATCAGTTTAATTTTACTCTCTGATGTAAAGACTTCGGAATTTTGCTACTTCGGAGTTTGTAAAAGTTCTCCCTTGTTGTATACATATTCAATATCAACAATTTTTATTCGAGGGTTCTTCTTATTTGGAACAGTTGTAAAATTGGTTTATGCAATCTTTGGTTCCAGACTATCCTTCAATTTATTTGCTTCATTCTCATTTCTGCAATGTATAACGACTGCGCCATCTCTATCTTCCCTTATTTTTTCAATTTCTATCCCGAGTTCAGCTGGATTTACCTTCTGTTTTAAAATTCATTTTGCTTCCTTGCTGTCGCATGCCGCTGTTGGTTTTACTAGAACAACCTTCTGTACTGTCCCTGTACTGTCCTTGCATAACTAGTTTTCGGAGTTGGAATATTGACGTTATTATTAAAAGAAGAATAAATGAATATTACTATTATTTTCATTCCCTTCTCTTCTCGCTTTCTTAATTGACCGTAATTGGTGAATCCGGATCTCAAGAAAAGACCTAAGGTATTCGCCCTAACACCTTTCGGAGTATGTGTGCTGTTCCCAGCAAAGCTTTCTTCTGTACTTCGGTGGCCAGGTATAAATTTGATGAAATTACTATGCCCTTTAATAAGCATACCGAGTGCACCAATTACTACTGGGACTATTTTCGTCTTCGTGTTCCACATTCTGCTGATTTCAATTTTAAGATCTTTATACTTGCTGATATTAGCAATCTGATCTTAGCTGTAGTCCTATGGCAAATCCCATAGGACTACCTTGTCTCTTATATTTAGGACTTTCTCGGGAACGTGTATATAATACTTGTCCTGCACCTGTACACCCAACTCTCTGGATATAATAATCCAATGTATGTATGCTGCAACCTGTCTATATGAGTGTATTCTGTCGGAGCAAGTGTTGAGCAACCACTACCAGATGGATGATATGTTCTTTTGCTCTATTGCACATTCTACATTGCTTTTTTTTGATAATATCTGGTCTTAAGTGCTTGATCTTGTGCAGCGATGATGAGACTCTCTGTTTCTCCTTTAAGTCCAGAACTGCTTAACCATGCTGTGCTTCCTTCCCGATCAACTGTCGGTTTATTCAGATTTCGGTAGAATTGTCCATGCAAACACTTTTGTTCTAAACTCGAAACTCGCTATTTTATTTCGTTCTATACTAGATTTTAAATGTTCAATATTTTATGTAGTTGTTTCTTGTTTAGAGAATTTGGCTAGGATATTGATAGCTTCTTTTTGAATGGATTATTTGGCCTTCTTTTCGTCGTGGGTTGCTAATGCCTTACAGTATTTATCCCTGTTAAGAGCGACATAGTTGCTCAGACTTGTGATAGCAGAGTTGACAGCCGGCTCAATTATTTCTATTAACCCTGGTCCACCATTTCGTCGTTTAATATACAGCCTATGTATATCGGCCTTTGGACGATGTAAGCTATGCACCCATGGTGAAAAGCTTCCCAGTTTTGCAATCCACTTTTTCAAGTTTGCTTCTTAGCCAATCAATAAAACCAAAACTATAAGTCATGAGCGGAACAGCTATTGTGTTGATCGCTTTTATTTTATTCCTTGCGTTTAATTCTGTACCTAATATTTTCCTTACTCGCTGGTGGTACTCTTTTGATTTTTTTTTTTTGGATTTTATTGTTATCTATCCCGTCCATTTCTTCAACATAGGTACTTGTAAGACTCACCAATATCTAGATTTCTTATCGATGTCTGTTCGTCTAATTTTACATTATCTATCTTAATTGGCTTGCCACGTTTATACAGGGTGTCCCACTTAAGATGGATACAATCCAATATCTTGATTGTTTGTTGAGCGATCTTTTTCATTTTTGGCAGGAAGCTGTATGGCTATAAGACGTACATTTTGCCCAGGGTAAGAAATGCGATTCCTCATAGACGTACGTTTTAATGGGGTTTGATATTTTTCGAGTCAAGAGTAAACTACCCTTAGGACAGTATTTATTTCAAACTTGATAAATTATATTGAATCCTCCTTACCTAAGATATTTAAGTTCTAATTTTTATAAATATTGATACAGGGTATCTCACTAAAATAAGACATTTTTATTTTTATTATTATTTTGTTAAGTACTTACGACGCGACTGGATAAACAACTGGTTTATTATCAATAACCAATTATACCCAATTATCAATTAATAATCGATTTAAGTTTGGTCGAAATCTTTGTTTAGAGCATATTTTTCAAAGTTAATAGTGATTGTTTTAAATAACTGTTTGGATTTTTTTAAATATTCCTCAATAAAACGAATAAAAATTATATTTCAGATTCCATTGAAAACTGGGTAAAAGTAAACAAAATAAATTGAAAATATTTAGTTTTTTTGTATCGTATCTTAATTATTATGGAAGCTATCTGAAAACTTAAATCGATTATTATTGATAATTGGTTATAATTGGTTATTGATAATAAACCAGTTGTTTATCCAGTGGCGTCGTAAGTACTTAAAAAAATAATAATAAAAATAAAAATGTCTTATTTTAATAACACACCCTGTATCAATATTTATCAAAATTAGAACTTAAGTATCATGGGTAAGGAGGATTCAATATAATTTATCAGATTTGAAGTAAATACTGTCCTAAGGATAGTTTACTCTTGACTCGAAAAATATCAAACCCCATTAAAACATACGTCTATGAGGTATTGCATTTCTTACCCTGAGCAAAATGTACGTCTTATAGCCATACAGCCTCCTGCCAAAAATGAAAAAGATCGCTCAACAAACAATCAAGATATTGGCTTGTATCCATCTTAAGTGGGACACCCTGTATATTGGGGTGGCACACTTATCGAGTCCGAACGCCATTCTGATGTCATCAGTGATTTCTTTGACTGTTGAGAGTGCTAGTCGTAATTGGCTTTCATCTTTTGTGAACAACTTCAGGTCGTCCATGTAGAACAGGTGACTTATTTCGGTACTATCGTCTAGCTTAAATCCTATATTTTGACTATTTAACATATTGGTAAGCGGAATTAACGCCATGCAGAACAGCAGTGGGGAGAGGGAGTCTCCCTGAAATATCCCTCTTTTGATATGGGCTCTGTTTAAACATGGCCTTCTTCATAGAATATTATTAGAATTATTAGTAATAATAATATTAAAACTTATATAGCATTTAATGGTTATACAAATATTAAAAAAAATATATAATTTATATAATAAATTTATATAATTTATAATTTATATTAAAAAATATTCTAATAACTTCGAATTCCAGAACTCTATTCAAAAAGCATCTAAAATTGTTTCTGCCAGAATCCAATAGAGAAACAGTTGATAGACTCTTGAATGTTCATAACTAAATGTATGGTCTGGTTCATTGTTTATTGTGGACGTTACTGTGTTGATTTAAAAAAATGTATATAAATATTTTGTAAAGTATATATTATATAGGGTTTTTTTACATAAAATTATTATTATGGTTTGAGTATTTTAATAGGCTGTTTTGTTGTCTAAAGTAAATGTTTTAGTGATTAGGATATTTGAATATGATTATTATAGAAATTAATTTAATATTTAGAATTGTTGAAACATATGCGAATGATGTAGACCATCTGTACAGAGTGGGTCAAATTCGACGCTTTTAAATGGAAACACCCTTTTCTGTAGGAGATAGACAAAAACTATTATCGGTGTCTGGAGCTCAATTTTTGTCAAAAACAAGATGGTGAAAACCGCATATCGATATCTGTTACCGTTTCGGAGTTACGGGGTGTTTTTCAAAAATATGCATTTTTAACAAATCGCTGTAACTTTTTTGCTATGGAAAATTTTGTATTTTTATGAAAACATTTCCAAAGCACCTTTTTACGTAGAATTTAATGGTTTAAGTATAATTTTTTTAAAATTAATAATTTAAGAATTATCAACAGAAAATTTGATTTTTTATATGGGACACCCTGTATATTTTTACTTTATTGAAAATAATTTAAAATTGTCTTTTCAGAAATATAACACACTTGATATTTTGCTCGATTCCTCTTCGAGATATAGAGTATATAAAAATTCGCCCGCTTTAAATAAGTAGGCTTTGAACGGCACCGGCTGTAATGCAAAAAAAGTCTAGCTGTGAGCATCAATTAAAACGAAAATAATATTTGCTATGAGAGATGCAGAATTTTATAAGAATTTAACATATATTTATCCAACATCAACACATTTAAACTATATCTAATAACAATAAAAATAAGTAGCAAACCAAGACATGGGATTTTGCTACAGTTGTTTGACATATCAACCGTGTTCTGTAATGGGCAGACGGGGCATTTTGAACATTTCTCGCGGTATTCATTAACTCAGTGGGGGTGAAAGATACCCTCTCATAACTGCTAAGTATTTTTAATTCTTGTCTAGATTATACGGAAGAATAAGGAACCTTTATTCTTAAGCAAATATATCCATAGGATTAGATCCATGGGTACTAAGTCAGGCGGCCTCGACGGCTAACGGCTGAGATCTTGGTTAGCTATCCAATTATTCTTGAAATTGGCTGCAAAAATTTGCTGATAACTTCAGCGTTCAGAGGCAATGCGTCGTCTTGCTGGAAAAATATGTTTTCGAGTTCCATTAAAGGCATCAACAGAAAATTTGATAAGGGATCCAAAGCCTACTAGTTAAAAGTGGCGAGCTTTTAAAAATTCTGTATTTCGAAGGGAATTATAACAAAATATCAAGTGTATGATATTTTTGAAAAGGTAATTTTAAATTCTCTTCAGTTAATTAAAAATATATAGGGTGTCCCAAATAAAAAATCAATTTTTCTGTTGATAACTCTTAAATTATTAATTTTAAAAAAATTATACTTATACCATTAAATTCTACGTAAAAAGGTGCTTTGGAAATGTCAAAGTTACAGTGCATAGAAATACAAAATTTTCCATAGCAAAAAAGTTACAGCGTTTTGTTAATAATGCACATTTTTGAAAAACACCCCGTAACTCCAAAACGGTAACAGATATTGACGTGTGGATTTCACCATCATGTTTTTGATGCAAATTGGGCTCCAGACACCGATATTAGTTTTCGTCTATCTCCTATAGAAAAGGGTGTTTCCATTTAAAAGCGTCGAATTTGACCCACCCTGTACACAGCTTTTGCTCCTGCAGATGATTTTACGATTGTTACTGTAAGGTGTTTTTTTTTTGGAACAATAAATATTATTAAAATATTATTATTAATATTAAAAATATTACAGAAAAATAAAAATTACCCACTTAATTGAAACAACAGCTGGAACGACATATTTCTTTGAATCGTTTGAGCATTGTTGGTATAAATTGCATGTTATTGTTCTAAAATCTGAAAAAAATTGATGTAATCATCTTATATCTACAATTAAAATTTTTATAGATATTTTATATAAGCATATATTACTAGCTGATGCGTGCCCACTTCGCTGTGCATAAAAATTTGGAACGATATATTTCTTTGCAATGTTGGTACGGCAATGTGAGTCTTTAAATTATTTGGAATAAGTCCGCTCAAACGTTGAAGTCGTTTCTCTGTTCATTGAGTATGTCCCCCATTATTCAGTGTTTGCTTTTGTTTGCTCAAAACGATAATTCTGTCGATTTCCCTGGCCATTCAACGTGAAAGTTGTATTGTCAAAAAAAGCATGCATGTTATTTGGGTTAAAAACACTAATTTTTAATCAAGGAGCCTTGGAAAAATAGATTTGACCGTCTAAAGTTTTTAGTGTCTTGTCCTGGCCGGTTAAAAGATGCCCAAATCGTATTTTTAATCATATCTCAATTTTTTCAAACGGAACGAAGGTGGCTCATTAGCATATTTGGAAAAAGCATTTTTTGGAGTTATATGATGATGATATGTGATGACGAGCAATTTATCTATTTGTAGCTTTTTATAATGTCATTATATAAGTATAATCATTTAATTTTTTAAATATGTATATGTCGTAGTCACATAGTGTATTTCGTCTTTTCGTGAAGATCCTAGTTACTTCATGAAGCGTCGGTTAGGTTAGCAATCTAGTTATGTTATTAGGTTAGTTTTTTTCATTAAGTGACTAGGCTCTTCATGAAAAGACGGAATACACTATGCGACTACGACATATATAAATAGAAGATACTATGATAAATCCTGTATTTACGTATAATACTATATTGTTTTTAAATATTGTAGGTTGTGAACCTGATCGGGGAAATACGAACTGAGGAGGCCAGTAATGTAAGTTTGCGTCCTGGCGGAAAACTTCAACCGAATCTAATTATCCAATTAGATAGGTTGAACTTGGTTGCTTTAAATAATGTCATCAACGACAATCGACAAAATACTGACAATGTAGTTGAAGGGCGACAAGCTATTCAAACTGTTGCAAATCAGGCTGCGCGACGCCACGCTTTAATACCTATAAAACGCACCTACAATATCGCTTATACCGTGGGAAATCAAGAACAAGCAGAGGAGGTTATTCAAATGGATCGATGCGGAACTTTTTCGCATATATGTCCGTTTTGCAAAAGTCTATTTTTCTCGCGCGAATTGAAGAGAGCCATGGGACATTTCAATACCGCGTATTTGAACTGTTGCGACAAGGGAGATATACGCGTTCAACTTCTAAATCGTTGTCCGGCATATTTGAAAAACCTTCTTATCCAAGAGGGTTATTCACAGTTTCGTGAGAATATCCGTCTTGCGAATTCGCTTTTCGCCATGGCCTCTTTTAAAACGTCTGTTCCGTATACGGCTAACCCACTCGGTGAACAAGCTCACTGGTGTTTTACTGTCTGCGGTCAGGTTTATCATCACGCCAACGATATTCCTATCGGTGAAATCACGGCCGATCGATTGCTGAGACACAATCAATATTATTTTATCGATTGTGCTGAAGCAATTGAACGTCGTTGTCAGTTTACTGACAACCGCGTGCCAGACGACATTATTAGGAACGTCGAAATCATGCTGCGTAGGGACAACGAGCTAATCCGGGCTTACGTAAAAATGGGAGAGGTGATTTCGAGAATGTCACAACGAAATGAGCCGTTAGATAACTTGGTAATAGGGTTTCGGGACAATATTAATGAAGTGCGTCGACAGTACGCTTTACCTGAAAGTAGTTCCGAAATCGCGGCTGTCTTTGTGGGTGAGGTACCTAGAGAGGTCAATCTGAAGATTTATCCTCGTCGCGATGGCGTACCGCATCAAAATGAAATCAAAAATCTCAACTGTTTCGCGGACCCCATGGTTTATCCTTTACTGTTTCCTTACGGCGACAGGGGATATAATACTGGCATGCCGCGATTAAGTAATCCTCGGAAGACGATTACTTTCAGTGAATTTTACAGATTCAGGATGATGTGTCGAGACCATTTTTCGATCATTCACAACGCAGGAAAACTCTTCCAACAGTATATTGTTGATGTGTGGCTTAAAATCGAAGCCAATAGGCTTTGGTATTACGTAACACATCAACAATATCAGAGATCGGCCTCGTACGCGTCCATTTTAAGTATGATCCGTCGCCGAGCCCAGGAGGAGAACTGTCGAGTGGGGAAGATAGTTATTCTACCTTCCTCCTATTCCGGTTCAGCTCGCAGTCAAAACCGACTGTATTTGGACGCCATGAGCGTAGTTGCAAGATGCGGTAAACCGGATCTTTTTATCACTTTTACATGTAATCCACATTGGGACGAGATTCGTCTAAATCTGGATTACAAACAAAAGTGGCAAAACCGACCGGATTTAGTGGTGAGAGTGTTTCAGAATAAATTACGCGAGTTTATCGACGACATCGTAGATAAACAAGTTTTCGGCATCATTACCTATTTTTTTTATGTCGTAGAATTCCAAAAACGGGGGCTTCCGCATGCCCACATTATGGTCTGTTTCCGGCCAGAAGATAAGGTGGATACGATTGCCAAAGTCGATCGCGTGATATCGGCCCGAATACCGGATCCGGTGCTCGAACCGATATTATACGCGGTCGTCTCTGACAATCAAATTCATCGTATCTGCGGCAGAGACAATCCAGGTGCGACTTGTATGCGGGAGGGCGTGTGTTCGAAATTCTACCCAAAAGCTCTCTGCGAGACCTCTTCGTTTCCGATAAACGGGATACCCATTTATCGGCGACCGGACGATGGTCGAACAACCACTATCGACGGCAAAATTTATAATAACAGTCGAATCGTGCCTTACAACCGATACGCCGCCCTCAAGTACCGGTGTCATATCAACTTTGAAGTGTGCGGGTCTTTATCCTCCATGAAGTACCTCTTTAAATACGTGCATAAAGAAGTTGATAGCGTCACCATTAAAGTGCACGGGGGAAGTCGCGTAGCGGAATGGAACGAAATCCGCAATTACCAAGACTGCAGGTACATGAGCTCAATGGAAGCGGCTTGGAGGCTGTTCGAATTCCCATTGACTCGAAGGTCCCATTCGGTCGTGTGTCTACCAGTTCATTTGCCTCTGGAACAGGATATCATTTTTGATCCAGATTTGGATGAACTCGACGAACAATTTTTAGCCCGTCGGTCTAAACTGATGGCATATTTCGATCTAAATGTGACATCGGTTGAGGCTCGTCAGTACAAATATGTCGATATTCCGGAACATTTTGTCTGGCAGACCCGGAACGCATCTTGGGTCGCGCGCACCGGGAGACGGACTAAAGTTGTTGGTGCAATTTGCGAGGTGTCCCCTACTAACGTCGAACAGTTTCACCTAAGGCTCTTACTGCAGCACGTCCGAGGAGCCATCAGCTTCGATTCCTTAAGGTCTGTCGACGGTGTCCTATGTGAGACATTTCAGGAGGCGTGCCGCAAATTGAGACTACTGCATGATGGCACCGTTTATCGATCGACAATGTCAGATGCGGCTCTTCACATGCCTCCATACCGTTTACGGCGCTTCTTCGGCTTATTGTGTCTCGTATGTATTGACGACACGTACGGGGCACAGTTGCCGTTTTTGTGGCAGGAGTTTAGGGAGCCTCATCTGATCGCGGATTTGATAGGTCAAGGTTTTTCCCGATCCGCAGCAATCCGGAAAGCTATGGATGTGATCGAACGTGTAATCATAGCCAACCGAGATGATCTCACGCTCGATCTAATCGGTATAAGCGATATTGAAGCTGCGTCCAGAGACGAAGCTGACGCTGCGCGACCGGATCGACAACTTTTAGACAACGAAAACGATGTAGACGAGCGAGATTTGCGCCAATGTACCGAAGCAGAATACGGAATTTCCAAATTAAACGCGGATCAATTGACCGTGTATCAGGACGTGGTGTTTCGTGTTCTGGCTTTGAACGGATGGCTTAATAATCAGGAAATTTTAACACATTTTGAGATAGAAGATTACGTGTGGACACGGTTGTTCGCGTCCCTAGAACAATCGTCTAATAACAACGAACACGTTCTCGCCTATCTCAGAGATCCGACTCAACGTCTATCGGCCAAAATCGTCGACAAGAACTTACTGTTCGTAGACGGTCCGGGAGGCACCGGCAAGACCTTCCTCTTTAATGCCATCATTTCCAAGTTTAAAAGCAGTCCCGTACCGATTCCGGTTCTCGCGGTAGCTTGGACCGGAATCGCCGCTTCCTTAATGATTGAGGGCAAAACGTGCCATCGTGCATTCCGTTTGCCCTTGAACATTGAGGGGACGACTACCGTTGGCTGGCCCGTCGAGCACGATAAATCGCACACGATTTCTCGTGTGCGATTGATCGTGTGGGACGAGATCAGTATGGCATCGAAACATGCCATGCAATCAGTCGATAGGTATTTGCGTGATTTGCCGGACGACTTGACCAATTTGTCGTACTTGCCATTCGGGGGCAAAGTAGTACTATTCGGGGGCGATTTCAGGCAAACTTTACCCATAATCACAAGGGGCGAACGCGGATCCGTTTTTAACAATTCGGTGAAAGCGTCTCCTTTGTGGCGGCAGGTGCATTGCCAAGCGTTGAAAATTAACTTGCGTGCGATTAATAGCGGATCGGAGCGCGCTCAAGCTTACGCCGACTGGTTGTTGAGTATGGGCGAGGGTCGATTACCCGCGGTGTCTATACGGGCGCCGAACGCTCCAAACGATCTGGTAATGATTAACGGCAATATAATTGTCAATAATATCGCCCATCTGATAGACTATGTGTACGACACGGATGCTCTAAGTCGTCGACACAACAGCGTAGAAGAACGTCTCGAATTAGGTAATCACGCGATTTTGTGCCCGACAAATGGTGGCGTAGATGATATTAACGAAATTTTATTGAATAAATTGAGAGGAGAAACGTTCTACTATTACTCGTGTGACGAATACCTAGGTGAAGACGGGGACGATTTTCACGTGCCCGCGGATTTATTACATTCAGTAAAAGCATCCAATTTGCCGCCTCACGAATTGAAAGTGAAAGTTGGAGCTGTTGTCATGTTACTACGCAACCTGGATCTGGGCACCGGATTATGTAACGGCTGTCGATTCGTCGTTAGCGCCTGCCACAAAGAAGTGCTCGAACTGTTGGCCATCACTGGCGTTCGTCGCGGTACAACGGTGATGGTGCCGCGCGTATTAATACGTGCCACGGTGCCAGCACTACCCCGAGGTATTAAGCGATTGCAATTTCCCGTTCGACTGGCCTTCGCGATGACCATAAATAAGAGTCAGGGCCAGACATTGAAACGGGTTGGTTTGCACTTGCCTACGCCCTGCTTTGCCCACGGGCAACTATATGTGGCTTTTTCTCGGGTCGGAGCTCCAGAAGCCATGCGTGTCAATATTGACAACAGTACGGTACAAGGAGCTTTTAACATCCGTCGCCAAGGTGGGGCGAAGTTAACGAGAAATGTGGTCATTAAAGACATGTTTCAAACAGCTGCCGTACGCGAGGCGCAAGAAATTACCGAGGCCGTTAACGCCATCTACGAAGAGAGACTTTTCAACGGTCTCGACGCGGATAATATGATCGAAGGTGAAACAGTCGAGCCTTTACAGCGGCACACTATACCAACAACTCCACCGACAAGCCCAAAAAGAACACGACAACAATCGCTACACAATAATACACCATCATGCCGAAGGCCAAATCTCGGCGGCATAATTATCAATACACCACCGACACGATCTCAATCACAATACACACTATCGCCGCCTTCCCCTCCGGAACGACCACCAATAGACAATCCAGATCTACCGCGGATGTCTATCAATCAATTGGAGGCTCGAGTGTCGGTCTTTGATAGACCCGGAACGTCTAGAAATCATTTCTATGACTGAACGGGCTAATTTTACTTTTTTTTAATATTTTAACACATATTAAATTTAAATTCAACCTCGTCAGCGATAAAGACATCTTCGATTATATTATGGGCCGATCTAAAGATGCGTATTCATTATCCGAAGGAACGAACGAACGAACGAATGTTCGCTAGTGGTATGGACGGGGACCGTACGATAGAACCGCACGAGAAGACCGGACGCGAACGCCTTTGATGTACCGACTCGAAACGGATGGTCGATCGAACGAACGAACGAACGGCCGCATGCGTTCGGTCCCCGTCTAAATATACCGCACTTTCATTCGTTCGTTCGTTCGGATAATGAATACGCACCTTAACATAAAGCCACGAGGTGCGTATTCATTATCCGAACGAACGAACGAATGTTCGCTAGTGGTATGGACGGGGACCGCACGAGAAGACCTGAGGCATTTGTTGGCGAACGCCTTTGATGTACCGACTCGAAACGGATGGTCGAGCGAACGAACGAACGAACGGCCGCATGCGTTCGATCCCAGTCTAAATATACCGCACTTTCATTCGTTCGTTCGTTCGTTCGTTCGTTCGTTCGGATAATGAATACGCACCTTAGAGTGCACACAGCAAACCGAACCAAGCGATACCGGATGCAACGCCCATTCTGACCAGATCTCATCGTTCAAACGACGAGTGGGTGTCGTACCCAGAATGAGCGTCACATCCCGTGTTACATTTTTCGGTTTGTTGTATGTGTTCTAACGTGGCATTTAGCCACCGACAAAAAACACTGACACTTTTCCTGATTATTGCGTGTAGGAATATAGCTTTTTCAATAGGTAATTGTGGGTTGATGGAGGATTTGACATTATTGTTATTATTTTAGAGCAATTTCTATGACTATGCCCTAAATTATATACGTGCACGTATATTATTTGCAATTTATTTCAAGATTAAAAAAGCTCTTTTATTTATTAAATTTTATTGAATTCAAAATTAATTTATGTACGATTTTTTATTGAATTATTTTGTGTGGCAAATATTAAAATATTTATCTACCAACAGATAAATCGTATTTGCGAAATTTTTAAAATTAACTTTACCAAATAATTGCCGATATTTTTGTATATGTATTTATTTCTTCTTATTTGTTTTTTTTAAGCCAGATCGCGACCGTACAAGTGTACTCGGATCATGTACACCTGGACTCCAGCGCCGCTTGGATCGTACCAAACGATTTTAAATCAGTTGATACGATTCAAACCGCATCCATATGAGATGCACGCAACGTCCAGGTGTGCCTGACCCAAGTACACTTGCACGGTGTCAACCGGGCTGTATTTATTAATCGTCATAATTAACTTCAGTTTTATCTCACAAATTTCAAGCCGTTTTGCTACACGAATCTAAATTCTCGTCTAACGTTTAGTATCCGAGTAGTTTGTCCCTACTGCCCTAGAAATCTGAGATCAAATGTTATATCTGAATAAGAATACACACAAAATTTATACTACATTCGCACTGATATTTTTATTTCTCTTTTATTTCTAATTATCTTTTTACGTTACTTAAAAAAACTACTTTACTACTTTACATTGAAAAAATGCTGGAAAGCTAATCATGGTCTTGATTGATTCAGTTGACATGAAAGATAAGTATCCTAGTTTTGCACGGTTGCTCGACTCAGGAGGACCAAAAGATGGTAAAATTCTTGGACTTTTTTCATATTTTCGCCTATAGTTCAGAAACGTTGCGTTCTAGCCAATATTTCACTATTACAAAAATTAAAGACCATTAAATTCTGCATATAATGAACAATTCGTTTAATTCTGTCCAGTAGTATGGCAGAAATCGAAACATGAAGAATGGTGATATTTACCAATTTTCCTGAAAAACGCATTAAAATGATATTCAAATATTCGTCACAAGGAAACGATCTTTCTAAATAATAAACCATACAATAAAAGTTACAGAGCATCAAATTAGAGTTTTATATCAAGTAATACATACCGAGAAAATGAAAATTTTCGCGTTCCGTCGTCCAACAGTTCTGCGTAGAATGAGTATCAATTCATTCAATTCGGTTCAGCAGTATAGCTTGATAAACTGATGCTTAAAAATAGTTATTCTTACTATTTCTTGCCAGTTTTGTCACTTCAAAAGAGTATTTCTTATCCAACAACCTTAATAAGAAACGACTAATTAGCATGCTCCATAAAAAGCTAGATGATGAAGGATTTATTGTAAAACTAGCAGAGGAAGATGCTGATAGACTCATTGTTACGACTGTAATTGACTTATTACTGAGTTATCCATCAGTAATAATTGTTGGAGAGGAACAGATCTGTTGGTCCTACTCACAGTATTAGCACCTAACATCTCTAAGATTGCGCTAATGAAGCCTGGGAAGGGTTCAAAAGAAAATCATTTGTACTATCCCAGACGCTTCAAATACTCAGAGTTCAAAAAATTCAAAATCAAACATTCGTTCTTGCATGCTTTCAGTGGATGTGATACCACGTCATCATTGTATCAGCATGGGAAAATGAAGTTTGACAAAACTTTGGACAGACACATAGACTTACAAGATGCTGCGCATATCTTCAATAATAATAATGCTTGTGTTGATGAGATAGATGCTGCTGGGATAAAATTCATGAAAGAATTTTATCTTCTGGTCCTCCTAGGCGAGCGGCGCGGGCGGTCGAGGATCCGTGCAAAACTAGGATACTTATCTTTCATGTCAACTAAACAAATCAAAACCATAATTAACTTTCCAACACTTTTTTCCAAGTGACCCCTATAATAGATATAATTTTAGTGGCCTATTCGTATTTTTATCCATTAAATTCAATGGTCACATAAACCAATCAAAAAAGTATTTACATTTTTTTATAACTTGAGAATTAATTATATTTTCTTTTTACAATTTATCTTAACTTTATATTATATCTGGTTTTTTTATATTTATATTATACAATTGGATACTTTTTTTAGGCTACCTTTAGGACACCTTTTTATACTAATTACCTTAATAAGTAAGCTCTATACACTCTTGCTACTGCTCCATACACATACATTCAGATAAAGCGTTTAGTTTCAGATTTTCAACTACATCTGCGACTCTATTACCGAACTTGACAATCACGAATCCCAAACTGACTTTTAATATCTACATTAATCCCGATTGCGACCCATTTATTATCACTACAATATGTATTGCTTTCTCTATAATTATCATTTTTATGATTATTGTGAATATTGTTAATTATTGTTATTTATTATACTAATTATATTACAATAATTACTGTTGCTCTCGCATTTTTAACATTGAATTCATTTTAGTTATTAGTATTTGCTTTTTTTTTAATCTTTACACATATTATGTAATTGTAATATATTTGAATAGTTTAAATTTTCTTCAATAAAATATTGGCATTTTGGTGGTCGAATGCCAGTATTTATTTATATTATGTATTGTTGTCATATTTTTTAACGATGACGAGGACAATACATATTGAATAAATGATACATAATTTCAATACATATTGAAATATTTTTGAATTTTATTGTAATAATTATTTAATTCGACATTTAATTATTTAGATATGTATTTATCTATAAATATATTTAGACTAATAATTGGAACTTAGACTGAAAAGAGGAGCATTGCGGTGGAGAATGCGAATTTTTCACCAAAAATAAAATCTTTACATTTGCAGTATCTCTTACGTCCTGGTAATTTTGCTTTTTTCAATTTTAGAATTATCTAATTACCCCAAATTTCTAAACATAGTATTGCATATGAAAGATTTTATATCGACTGGACTTTTAGGTTAGTATTTTTTGTTGTCTTTTGCATTGCTTGCATAGATTCACTCTACTAAATACATTTATTTCATTAAAACAATTGAGTGAATCATGCGAGCTTGGCAAAGTTTGGGAAATGCTGCTGATCAAAAATATATTAATCATGTCACATAATATTATTATGTAATACAAAATTATCATTTTGCAACTAATATTTTTTGTACCTTTCCAATGCCGGGTCCAGACCAAGCATACAAAACAACGACAAGATAGAAACATTCATGTTTTACGACAAAACTGCGACAAATCCAACACATTTTTGTGACATTTTTGTCTCATTTTTGTTTTGTTTCAAAATTCGGAGACTTTTCAATGTCTCGTCTCGAGTCGGTAAGATCAAAGTGTCTATGTTTTGTTCGTATATTTTACGACAAGTTGTCGGCGTAGTCGTAGTGTAAATGGCGTGTGCTACCAACAGTAGGAGACCAGTGAAATCACACATGGTTAATAAAACTCATTCGCAACAACTAAACTTTTGACTTTGTTGTACTTTTGTCCTTGCGGTGTGGACAATTTGTCTCAAGTTTGTCTTGCCAGAATTTCCCATTTTTTGTCGCAAGGTTGTCTTGTTTTTGTCTCAAAAACGTGTTTACTTTTTGTCACCTTGGTCTGGACCCGGCATAACGACGACGGCCGTCACAATGGGCGTCCATTTTTGGGAAACGTTGGGAGATTTTGCCACTGAAACAGAAATTTAAAAATACTTATTTCTGTTACATGACGCTATAAGTTATAAGTGGATTAGATTCCAAACGAAAATCAAATTTTTGTTATATTTAATTTTATATAATTAAGACGACGACAACGACAACGCACGAACTCGAAATATGTGCATTTAGTTGGTTAAGTGCAAATATTTCATTTTATAAATGATATCTAAAATGTTGATTTTTTTAACAATAGGTTAACACGTTGGTGTAAATTATAACCAGATTATTTACTCTATGCTTACAGCGACTGACTTGAGTATAAGGGATTATTTATCCCAACGATCTGATAAAGATCAACTGGAATTTAATTATTATTGTCAATAATATCATAATTTTAATAGACTATACGTGTACCACATTGATGTTTTAAGCCTAAGTTTACGGCTTGACAACAAAATAATAAATTGTCTCGATATGGTTATGGTTAATCGAGTTATTTTGT